CCACTCCTAAATATTATGCTAAGACCTTTTGTAATACCATACAATCGTAAAGTAATAAAGGAGACTAAAGGCAAGATGGTCTAAGTGGAAAAAAAAAAAATTTACTCTAATGAAAACAAAATTTTCAAAACCTATTTAGAGTTTTTAGTAACATGTATAGGTAGCAAGTTTCTGGCTTGAGATATGGGCTATAGAAAAACCACCTGCAGATACACCAAATTGAAAGCTCATAAGAAGTAAATACCTGACATACCAAATTTGAAGTTATGACTGGTATGAGTAAGATATAGAAAGAATATAATAATTATTTGAAATAGGTAGTTGAAAATGTAAAGCTAGGTAATATATGTGTAAGACATGAACTACTCTAGTAGGTATAGGTTATAAATAAATTAGTTTTAAATCTCTGCATTTGTAAGTTAAATGAACTTCACCTTAAAAATTTATACTACTGTAATTAGAAAAAATATTTTATTTTGTGTATTGAATTAATTTTTAAAATTTTTCATTCATGTCTAAGTAAACTTTTTATTATACAATTTTAATAAGTATAATATAGATATAATCACGGGCTATATTATGTGTAAAATTCAAAAAGAAGGGTAAAATATTTATTTCTAGCTTAATTAATGATTATTAATTAAAAATTGTAAAATTTTTTACTAATTTTCAAATGGCAAAGTTTAACAAAATTTTTACAAAATCGTATCAAATTTTGGTCATTATTGTATTTTATCTTGTAAAATCTTTTCAATTAGAATTAGAATGCTAAATCTAGTTTACTTAATAAGAAAAAAAGTTATATATATATATAGTGACTTATCACTTCGATTTCGAAAATTTTATCGGGCGTTACTTTTGCCGATGACTGTACGTACGTTGTACGTTACCTTTAAACCAAACATCGGATGTATAAAGTTCTAATTATGTAACAAGTATATACCATTTTGCACCGATTTCCCATAATTAAAGACCAGACACCTACTAGCCCAAATGTCCCAGAAAATGAAGGTTTTGAATAAGACTAGTGATACGAATCGAAAATCGATTAATCGTTGAGTATCTACTTAAGAAACTTTCGACAAAAATTTTTAATCAATATCCATCAATCGATAAGATCACTAAATAGGCAGTGACGGACGATATGCATAATCTCATAAATCCATTTGAAATTAGTTACTTCCATTGCAACAAAAAACATTCGTTCCTGGTCCTTTCTCCGTCCCACAAATGCAAAAGTTCATGATCAATTCTTTCATTTCTTCATTCACTCGTTCCACCTCATACTTTAAGGTAGATGACATATTTGTACAATCACGGTAAAATTCCAATTTTTTGGCTAATTCTGGTTCCAAACTTTTAAATAACATGGACGGAGAAGAAAGAAGAAAAAGCGTAGCAAAAACAACTTGTTTTTCGCTAGAATGATCAAATGATGAATTTTGTTGTATTTTCTGAAAGATAGATCGAACAATAGGATACAATGCAGTCATTTTAATATCATTGAGTAGAGTACTAGTGTGGCTTTCGCCAGATTCAGATATTTCATCTTTAAGATTTTCAATATCAGCTCGTAAAGCATGTTGAAGAGACATTATAAATGGATCAGCTAAAACCACACTTGCCACCTCTTCTAACGTTTTTGGTTTTTCTATTAGTAAGCGTTCTGGAATATCTTTACAAAATGTCTTGCCAAGTGCAGTCCAATTGACCACAGGATTATTTCCTACCGAAGACAGCTTACAGAGTGAAATTGCCCTGTGTGATGGATTGGATGAGAGAAGAAAATAACCGCGTGAAAGACCTGTTTCTTTATCCAAGGGTAACATGGAATCATATAACAAATCTGCAGATGCAAAATAGGATGGATATTTAAACCTATACATAAAAGGAAAGTCAATTAAAATTACTAAAATTCCAACAAAATGATAAAGCACCGATATTATTACCTTGCGGTATCTAGTACTAAAACCATATTCTTCTCAGAATTGTATGCTCCAATAGGTGAATAATGACCATCACCAGTTTGTTTCATAGCAGCTCTAGAAAATGAAATCACCATATAAACATCTGAACTTGAACAAACATTCTTCAAGTCCGCAATGAATTCTTCCTTTGGTGTGCGGTCTGCACGTTTAACAATAACATCACAATGACATTTTGCTAAACACGCGAATTGAGAAAAAGTGATACCATTTTTCTTAACTTCTTCTATAGGTGTGCAACAATTCAAAAGTTCATCAGACCACCAGCGCCACGGACCTTTCCATATAGGTGCACCCTTAATTTGTAGAGCGTTTAGGACAATTGATAAAGAACTTAAACCGCAAAAAGCGGGATCCATTTGATGTGCAAAACAACTAGACAGGTTAAGGTAACCTTCTGCATAGCCCTCATTAAGTGCCTGTTTAAAAAGTTCTTTTCCAATCGGTGAAGAAAAGTTTATTAAATGATCTGGTAATGGACGGCCTTCAAAATAGATTTGTGTTGATGATTCCTTCTTTTGTGGTTGTAAAAGTGGAAGAGAGGACCCGTATGATGAATTAGATGTCATTGTAGAAAGTAGACGACTTTTAGAGACTTGATTACGAGTAAATTTTCTAAGAGGATCCTTAAACTCAGTAGCGATAGATAAAGATAAATATATGTTCGTGAAGCTTGCTTTTAAAAACATCAGCGGATCTGCGTCATTACTATTAAAAATGGTAAAATATTTGACGGTGAATAACTTTTTTATGTTTTTGGTAAAATCACCAAAAACAATCGGTGAATAAAAAGTTATTCACCGTCAAATATTTTACCATTTTTATACGTATGCTTAATTCGTGTTGATCAAATAAAACAAGTTGATTGGATCTTCCCCAGGTGCGCCAACAAAATTTTACTGTCACGTGATATACGACAAAATTCTTTAACTTCGTTTATGCTAGGTTTAGGGCCTATTTAGTGTTATAATTATAGGCTTTAATAGTTAAATCGTTCAAGAAAAACTTTTTGTTAATGCGCAGGAGGTGGTTGACAAAACGAACGTTTGTTTTGAATATTTCTGATCGTGTAACGTTACATCAAATCGAACTTCATTATTGGCTTATTTTCGTCGATCATCAAGTGACAGTAAAAATTACTTAGTAATTTTGTTGGCGATCCTGGGGTAGTTTGCTTTAAAATCTGGGGGAGCACGGATGTTAAAGTCCGGTCCGCTCTGGTTAAGTTCTTAAAAAGTCTGGACATAGCCCCTGTTTGAAACGTAGAACAATAGTGAACGAGTATTATGTATAGCGATAGAAATATTATGTATAAAACAATGGTGAACGAACAATAGTAATCACATTTAGATCGACGTAAATTAGCCAATTAGAAGACTAGTTTTCGGACTCCGGGATTCACAACTTCTATATTTATACCTCGAGGTAGGAACGTCCCGAGTGCCCCGATCTTGTAGATCGTTACACAATTAATAAAGATTTTTTTTTATACGTTTT